TGATGATGATGATAATGTAGCATATATATAAATATACGAAGGAAACTCTATGATTGGTTTATTCGATTTGACTAATAGAAAAAGATATACATCAGTTCGTTTATAATGGCTAAAAGAGAAACCATAGGAATTTTCTAATATTTTTATTTAACAAACTATTTACTTTGTTTTTCTTAGTAGAATCAAAAAAACAAGAGATAACACATAAATATAGCTGACATTGTTTAACATTAATTTTATATATAAAAATCCAAGAGTTTTATAATTAAATCGAGATTCAATTTTTAAATTTGGGTATATAATAATTAGAATAGTTTAAATGATACGACATTTTTTTTCTTTATAAATAAAAAAACAAAATTACTAATGATAGAAAAATAAATAAGTGTACATACCTGAGTCAATTTTGTTATGTTGACAATTTTATTCAATACTATGACTATTTATTGATTTGTAAATATTCTTTCAAGAAGCTTAGAAACTTCTTGAATATTCTTTTTTACTTGAGCATAGATAAAATTATTAAAGAAGATTCCAGAAAAATTAATTTTGTTTTAAAAGTATTATTCTTATCTTTTTTTGTAGAATATATACTTGTACATATAGACAAATTAACTGATTCGTTATCATATAAAGAACGTAAATTAGGTATTGATTTGCTTGCGTACGAAAAAATATGTTATTTTCTTAAAAAATATCGATATTTAATGGATGTATTGATTGACAAATCAAAATATGAGAGGAAATGAAATGAATATTCAACTATTTTGGTTAATTTTTAGATGTTTTGAAAATCTTCTTTAACTGATAAGAATCAAGTACATGTAAATATCAAGAAAAATCAATTTCTTTTCAAATTCATATTATCATAAATTTTGTTCAACTGAATATTACATTTTTCATTCTTCTTACATACATAACACAATTTGATCTTACCCCACTCAATTGGATACGCTTGAACGATTTTTTTGCCTATTTTTTGTTATTTTAGGTAAAAAATACCTATACTATTCAAATGTTGTCTTTGATAACTATCATCGTTTTTCTTATTCATGCTATTACTATTTCTGGTTCACCACCAGTAGTTTTATGGCATGGAATGGGTGATAGTTGTTGTAATCCATTGAGTCTTGGTACAATAACTAAATTATTAAAAACGCAATTACCTGGTTCATATGTTACGTCACTTCGTATTGGATCAAATATTGTTGAAGATACTTCGAATGGATTTTTTATGAATGCTAATCATCAAATTGATTATGCTTGTAAATTATTAAATGCTGACAAAAATCTCTCACAAGGTTATCATGCTATTGGGTAAATAAAATATAATTTTTTTGTTGTCTCGAAAATTTCTTTGTTTGAAGTTTTTCTCAAGGTGGTCAATTTTTTCGTGCAGTTGCACAACGTTGTCCTGAACCACCAATGCTTAATTTAATATCCATTGGTGGTCAACATCAAGGTGTTTTTGGATTTCCTCGATGTCCTGGTGATAATGAAACTATATGTAATTATATTCGTGATTTATTACGTTTTGGTGCTTATGAATCATTTGTTCAAAATCATCTTGTTCAAGCTGAATATTGGCATGATCGTATGTAGAAATATTTTCAAAATATTTCTTCAATATATATTTCTTTGTTTTTCAGCACATAAAGAAGAAATCTATCGTAAAGCAAGTATATTCTTAGCTGATATTAATCAAGAAAACACATTTAATGAACAATATAAAACAAATTTATTAAAAATTCGTAATTTAATACTTGTTAAATTTCTACGTGATTCAATGGTAACACCACATGATAGTGAACATTTTGGTTTCTATGAAGAAAATGATACATCAAAAATTATACCATTACGTGAAAGTTCATTATATCTCAAAGATTTATTAGGTTTAAAAACTATGGATGAACAATCACGTATTAAATTTCTCGAATCAGATACAGATCATTTACAATTTACGGATAAATGGTTTATTGATAATATTATTCCATATCTTCAAGATTAAAAAAACGTTTCTGTTTTCCTTTGTCTGTATTATTATATAATAAATAATCATAAATGTTCATTAAATCTTTCAACATACATTTGACAATCAATTGAACTACTAGCTCAATCTCCCCGGAGCATTGAATAGTTAGTATAATTTCAGGTTAAAATGAAGTCGACCGTTTAACATAAGCATCACGACCTAATAATGAAATACCTCGTAAATCAAAGAATCTATTATTTCCTTCCTCGTTTTTTTTCATACCCGAAGGACCAGTAAACCTTGAAGGCCAGGCATACATTAAAAAAAGAGGAAATTAGATCGTATCATCAGCGTTAATCTCCAGAGAACCATATGCACCAAGAAGTCTTTACATGATTAATAACAGACTACTTATGACATTCGAGTTAAAGAGCGATCTCATCCTGACAAAACTTTCTTATATCTTTGACCGAAACATAAAAGTATTTATGCTATTATATAGGATCAATTTTTTCAAATGCATATATACAAAGACAAAAAAGTAATACAAGCAGATAATTATTTTCAAGTAACTTTTAATAATAAAATGTATTCATTTGTTAGTGTTGTCATCATTGGATTGATTGTTTTTGTTTTCTTGATTTTGAACTAAATAGAATGATAAGTAAAATTTTATTATAATGAAACTACTCATTACCATCATCATCTTCATCGTCGTCTACTTCTGGAAAGAGACTATTTATATATTGTTCTGTAGGATCTGGTTTGTTATATTTATTTTTTATTTTATTAGTTGGTCGATGTCGTACCAATTGAACTTTTGCATATTCACGAGCCTTTAAAAGACATTACATATAATTATAAGTATAAAAAAAGTATTTACTCGTTCAAGTTTTGATGCTCTTGCTGGATCATTTGCTTGACCATGATTGAATTGAAAAGGTTTTCGTGGTGATATATCTCGTGGTGATTTATATTCTTCTGTTGATGTATTTATAAATGGTTTTTCTATCTTTGAAGCATATTCTAAACGTTTTCTTGCACGTTCTGTCTATTAAAAAAAATTAGATTAAAATATAATTCATAAATAATTATTATAAATATATACTCGATCATATTTTGTTTCATTAAACGGACCATATGGATTAAAGTGTGATTCCATTTTTTGTAAATCTTTATAATCTTTAAGTGTATATTTTTTATAAGGAAAATAATATCCTTGAGAGTCACGTAATGCACGACGTCGTTGATTTTCTAAATAACTATCTAGAATAAAAAGAAATAGTTTAAATATTTTTTTTGAATAGATTATTTAACCTGTTCCCATTGATGGTTGTGAATAAAGAGATTCAAATATATTTGATGGATGTTTTTTCTTTGAATTCTCGTGTGTAGCAACATGTTCATCATAATATTTTGGTTCATTAGAACGGTATGAATCGTGATAATGTGTATCATCTTCTTCATATTCGATATTTTTTTCTTTACTTATTCCTTTACGAGCACTTGTAATTTCTTTTTCATCTTCAGATTTTTCCGTTCGAGATTTTGGTATACGTTTCTCACAATCAATACATCGTGCATCAGAATCATCTTCATATGAATGAGGACGACGATTATTATTTAAATATCGTCCTCGAAGAGGATGTCCACGTGATAATGGATAAGTAACAGTAGGTTCATAAAACGGCGGTCCTTGTCCTCGTCGAACAGGTGGTAAAGATGAATTTTTTTTCTGTGTATTATCATTTAATACTGTACGTTTTGTAGATTTATGTTGAGTATTATTGTCATCATTATATTCATCATACGAATCAGTATTATCTTCTGTTTCAAAATCTTCTTGACGACTTCTATGATAATTCGGAACAGATTGAGATTGTTTCATATTTTGTCTTGATCTATTAGTATCATTTTCTTTACCATCAATTGAAAAATTTTGTTTTGACAGAGAAAATGATGTTTTTTTATTTGAAGGTTGATTTCCATTATTTTGTTTTTGTTCAGGAATTTCTTCTTTTTGTTTAATAATTGTCGATCGTATTTCATTTGATTTATTTGTCTTCATTTCTATTGAAGGATCATTTCTTTTCATTGTCATTTCAGATTCATGATTATTGCTACTATTCGCTAAAGGTAGACGAAGATCTGATGCTGGTTGATTAGAAATTTGATGATCAGATCGAATACGATTTGATTGAGATTGATAAGTTGCAGGGGAACGTTGTAATGTTACACCAGTGTTCTATAATAAATACAAACCTTTTAAAGGTAAATACTACTAGGGAAATATTCGTAATATAAGACACTTTTCTTTTCTTTTGATCAGAGATAAATTATCATTAACATAGAACTTACCATTTTCTATAAAAATAGGTGTGATGAGAACTGAAAATATTAAATGTGTGTTGATATGTAAATATTGTTAAGTATTTAAGTAGGGGAAATTTTCAGTATATAAAAACAAGTAAAATACGTCATAGCAACGTTTTTCTAAAAAACTTAATTTAGTCGAGCTTTGATTCTTCAAAGAAAACCAGTTTTTCTTTCCTTATAATTTATACTTTTTTGACAACACTTAAAATTCATTTAACATCTTGAGCATAAAATTTTATAGGTTTTTTTTCCAATTTCAACACCTTCCGCTATTATAAATAACTATTAAAATTTAATGAGTATTTTCTTTTTATAAAAAAAGATATCATTTTTTACTAATAATAAACATGAACAAAAGAACAACTCATTTACCTGATATTGTTTATTAGATTGATGTCTATCCATACTTGTTTTATATGATAAATGTATATTATTAGTGGTACCGAGATTGCCATAACGTTTATCAGTATGATTAGATGAAGTTGATGTTTGATCATTTGATTGATTATATGCTAATTGTTCATCATATTTATCTCTAAGATAATATTTCGGTTGTTGTTGTATCGCATCAATATCATTTGAAGCACTTGATGCTTGTGGATTATCGGTATAATGAGTTGTTAATGGTCCAATATGTAAATTGTATCCACCTATAAATAGAATATTATATAAAATTGAATTAAAATTTTAATTTTACCATGATGTCTTTCATCATTATAAGTTCCTGGTGATAATGTTTTATATGATGTTGCAGCCATTAGGAAATAAATTAAATCACGAATAATAAAAGTAAAGTGTATGACAATGCCACTTCGTTAAAAGAAAAACAGAATTCGTAGTAGATGAAACTAAGGAGAAATACTTTATACAAACATAAAGGTAAAGTAAAAACGAAAGAATAGAAGAAAAGTAACAATAGAAATTTTATTGCATCTTTTTGCTTTTTATTGATTATGAATGAATCGCTAGAAGCATGGTTATAGTCAAGAGAAGAAAAAAAGAGGAAAAGAACATTTAATACTATTTGCAATGCAAAAAAAGAAAAGGTGAATAATGAAGTTTGATTTATTCAACTTTTTTTTTTATTATTAACATATAAAAAAAGAATGGTTAAAAAATATATAATTAATTATTTATTGATTGATGTATTTTTAAACCTTGATCAATATAAATTGTATATAAAAACAAGTAACGCTCGTCTAAGGACTCGCTCAGCTCTTTCTCGTAGAAATGGTGTTCTACAATGCTACGGGACCTTTTGCTTATATAACTTGCAAACACTTACATCAGATTCGTGTTCCCCAACCTCAAAAACCATTTCGTCAAATTTTATAAAAAAAATGGTCCTTTGTCTAAAAAAACTATTTTTAAACAATTTTAAAAAACTAACGTCAGATTCGAAGTCCCCGCATCGAAATACCTTTGGAAATATCCTTTTCGGAAAATCGATTTTCGATGTTTTTTTGACCCTGCGGACAGACAAGCAAGTAAACAAACAATTTATTTCTGCTGGACTCTTCTCTACGAGAAAGAGAATAAATAAAATCGATTAGATTTTTCATTGAATGTCCCTCGTTCAATATAATATGATGAAAGTGATAAATAAAAATAACATATGAAAAATAATGATTATAAACAAATGTATTTTAAACTATTTCTTTTGTTAAAGTAATATTAAAAAATACTTTCCGTGGCATTGCATCACATCCTTCAGAAGACATATTTCTTTGTCATGAAAATACGGCTTAGTTTTTTGGCGACTAGTAAACCTTTACGGGGTAAAAAGTAACTGAAAAGAAATCATTCGACATCTTGTTTGATACTCGATTTACTACATGGTGTTTTGTAAAAACTTAAATATCGTATGTTCTGTTGGATTTTTTAGGAACAAATAGATACCATCATCATTAAAATATTTAAAATTTCAACGCATATAAATGTGTTCTCTTGAGAATAATTTCATGGGCCGTAGAAATACATTTATCTGAATTGAAATTTTACGAATACTTCAACAATGATAATATCTATTTACGGTTCATTACGAGTGACTAATGTCATTAAGTGTATGCCCATCAGAAAAGTAGGTTGAATGATGTTCCTGCCAATACAATATTCTTACTGCATTAATGTTTTTGTTATTTGAATTAAAATAATAAGATTCTTGTTAGAAGTAGAAGTAGTAGTCTTATAGATGTACGAATGCACTTTGACTTTTATATTTTTCATCATGATTAAGCTCTTTTACACAAGATACTGCAGAAAACGAATCACCATCCAACCTTGTAAAGAAATATTTATAGTCCTTTTTTGAATGCATTATAAGAAAAGCGAATATTCATGAATGTATATAGTAATAATTCCTCTTCAGTTAAACTTAAATCAAGCCAACTAAAATTTTTATCGAATTGAGAATTATGTATGGTATTCATGTATTATTCGTTGTGAAGATAAAGAGAACACATCAATTTGTCTATATACTTCTCAGCCTATAAAAATCGAAGCTCTGTAATAAACGTAAAGTATTGTAAGACTCGCCTAAAATAAAATAATTCATTAAGTGTGCGATAATAATCAATGATGTATTAAAATATCATTCGAGTTCTTTGTATGGAGAACTGAATGTTCAGTTTTATTTAAGATAAAAATTATGTTCATTAGAATTATAATACTAAGAGCTACATGACATGAAGAGAGTATATCTGCCATTCCCAAACGGTTGGCTTCTTCTTCTTAGCTTTAAATAAACGATTTCTTAAAAAAGAAACCTTCATATTTGCCTAAATACACGATATATGAGTGAGAGTTTTCGTCGTTTGTCTAAATTTGTACTCAAAATGTTACTTTTCTTATAAAATCACTTCAAATCAAGAGTTCAGCTATACAATCTATGTACGGATCAATCTAGTAATCACCAGTAGCTCCAGAACAGTTAACAGAATCCAATGTATATTTTTCAAAATATTGCGGTAGAAGGCTCTACTCGTCAATATCGAAAGGATATAAAAGTTTAGTTGCTTGAAAATTAAATGGATCCAAAAGGTTAGGTGTATGGACTTTAAAATCTTCAGAAATCTTAATAATTAATCAATTTTTCATATATAAAATATTGCATGAGACTTCATTATTTCGAATAAACAGGCATTGATACGCTGACCACTTGTCACTAACATATTGCAAGTGTGCACGTTTCGAAATATCTTCGCCTCACTAATATATACTAGTACTTCCAAACGAAATTAATGCTATGGAGACAATTTCACATGCATCCCAGTGAACACAGAAACGGATATTTCTCCTTTTAAAGTCCATCACCATCAGTCTCCCAATGGAAAAATGTCTTATCTACTAAAATCCTACGATAAAAACATGCAAACTATTTCATCAATTTCCTTTCTCTTTTACTCTTCCCAGTTGAGCAACTTCTACCAGACAACCACCCACCAGTGATTCAAGTAACATCACAGCAAAAATCATACTTTCAACTGAGCTTTACTAGCTACACATTCAACAATTGCCATTGTTCTGTAGTCTCGACTAATCATGAGTACAAGAAAAAACACTCTTATTGTTACAAGATATCACATATATTTGTTGAACCGATATAAAATCTTATAAACATTAAAAGTTAAAGCATTCTTATTTAGGGTTGCTCCCGTTAGTACTGATTTTCATCAAAAAAATATTTTTAGTCGTGTATTTTTTTCACATATTGTCTCAAATTGTTTCTGTGCATTATTACTGATTTGATTGTTTTCAAGCTTGAGTGTGGTGAGTGTCTGTGTGAATAATGAAGTGAATTGAAGAGGAAGAAGAATAAGCATTGTTGTTACTTTGTTGATTTGTAGAGCATTGGCAAGATATTGTGCACCTTGATCACCGATTCTATTGTACCGTAGGTGGAGTGTAGTAAGTGTCTGTGTGAAAAGTGTGTGAGTGATGAAAAGAAGTGAAGGGGAAAAGAGCAAGCATTATTGTTACTTTATTGATTAGGAGAGCATTAGTAAGATATTGTGCTCCTTCATCACCGATTTCATTGTCTTCGAGGTTGAGTGTGGTGAGTGTCTGCGTGGAAAGTGTATGAATGATAAAATGAAGTGAAGAGGAAAAAGAACAAGTATTGTTGTTACTTTGTTGATTTGTAGAGCATTAGCAAGATTTTGTGCTCCTTGATCACCGATTTGATTACGTCTGAGGTTGAGTGTGGTGAGTGTCTATGTGAAAAGTGTGTAAGTAATGAAAGGAAATGAAGAATAAGTATTGCTGTTACTTTGTTGATTTGTAGAGCATTAGCAAGGTATTGCGCTCCTTTTGCACCGATTTCATTGGACGGCAAATGGAGTGAGGTAAGTGTCTATGTGAAAAGTGTGGGAAAGACGAAATAGAGCGAACAGGAAAAGGAACAATTATTGTTGTTACTTTGTTGCGTTGTAGAGCACTGGCAAAATCTTGTGCTCCTTCATCACCGATTCGATTAAACTCGAGGGTGAGTGCGGTGAGTGTCTGTGTGAAAAGTGTTATTAATGACGAAGTGAAGTGACGAGGAGAAGGAAGAAGTATTGTTGTTACTTTGTTGACTTGTAAAGCATTGGCAAGATCCTGTGCTCCTTCACCACCCATTGGATTAAAATCGAGGTTGAGTTCGGTGAGTGTCTGCGTGAAAAGTGTTATTAATAATAAAGTGAAGTGACGAGGAAGAAGAACCGTTATTGTTATTACCTTGTTTATTTCTAGAGCATTAGCAAGGTATTGTGCTCCTTTTGCACCGATATCATTGAACCGCAAATGGAGTGAGGTGAGTGTCTGTGTGAAAAGTGTGGGAAAGACGAAATAAAGCGAACAGGAAAAGGAACAATTATTGTCGTTACTTTGTTGCTTTGTAGAGCACTGGCAAGATCTTGTGCTCCTTCATCATAGACTTGATTAAAGTCGAGGTCGAGTGAGGTAAGTGTCTGTGTGAAAAGTGTGTGAATGATGAAATAAAGCGAACAGGAAAAGGAACAATTATTGTTGTTACTTTGTTGCGTTGTAGAGCACTGGCAATATCGTGTGCTCCTTGTTCTCCGATTTGATTGTATCGAAGGTTCAGTATGGTGAGTGTCTGTGTGAAAAGTGTTGTGAAAGATGGAATAAAGTGAAGACGAAAAGGAAGAAGTATTTTTGTTACTTTATTGATTTGTAGAGCAGTCGCAAGATCTTGTGCTCCTTCACCACCGATTTTATTGCGTCCGACGTTGAGTGTGGTGAGTGTCTGTGTGAAAAGTTTTTGAATGATGAAGTGTGGTGAAGACGAAAAGGAAGAAGTATTGATGTTACTTTGTTGATTTGCAGAGCATTAGCAAGATCCTGTGCTCCTTGATCACCGATTGCGTTGCCTTCGATGTTGAGTGTGGTGAGTACCTGTGTGAAAAGTGTGTGAATGATGAAGTGAAGTGAAGAGGAAGAAGAACAAAGATTGTTGTTACTTTGTTGATTTGCAGAGCATTGGCAAGATCTTGTGCACCTTTAGGACCGATTAGATTGAAGTCGAGGTTGAGTGTGATTAGTGTCTAGATGAAAAGATCATGTAAAGACATGACATAAATAACAAGGGAATGAGAGTTACTGTATTGTGTTGTAATGCATGATACAGAGATCGTTGCTCCAAATAGCCGATTTGATTCTTTGAGAAGTCGAGCGTGTTAAGTGTCTATATGAGAAAGGGAAGATAAAGACATTGTACAAATGAAGAGACCAAATAGCTAGTCGGTATTACATGAGACTAGGACCGCGAAATTAATGTTGTTTTGACGGGCGTGTAGATACGCGTACGAACTTTTATAAAGAAAATTATCCTGCACAGTGTGCAACCGTGTTTTGTGAAAGCTCAGACTGTAAAGACATTACGAAGGTTGAGCTAACGATAGAAGGTGTTTATCTATGTTCTACTTTAGTTTGAGGAAGAATGATATACATTTTGGTTCATGAAAAGTAGTTTCTAACGTACTTCTGGAGAAAACAATTGCGAAGAATAGTATTACATACTCAAATGACAATGTTTTGCAGGAAATGGTTTAGAGCGTAGTTATATTTGGTGCAGCTTTTGTTAGTATGCTGTAGGAAGGACGAAAGATAGTTTCTCCTTGGTAGTTATTGAGTATTTGTGTTTATATGCATTATTCAGATTCGATATGTGTCTTACATCAGAATTGTGTTTGAGTTATCGAACTTGGTCTTATTGATATGTATGATGTGTATAAGTAAGAATATGTATTGATTTCAATAGTTACTTTCGATGCAACTATGCGGTTGTGTTCATAAAGCTACATTGATTTATAAAAAGTGAAAAATAAGTCAAAATATTTATTTCGTAATGTTAGACTCATTATGAGAAGAAGGTGAATGCATGCAAAGACGTCATATAAAAAAATAGCACTGTCGAATTATTCTCGAAATTTCGTCCTAGATAAACCGTGCTTCAAAGGAAACCTATTCCGGTGCAACTTTTTTTGGTAAAAATTTGGTTTAGGAGTAGTATTCTTTCAAGAAATTTTTCAGCTTGATAGTATGGATGTGAAGGATGTGATTAGATAAAAATGAGGGCGCTGTTGTGAGTCAATCTTCTCTCCATCCACATCCGCCCTTACCTGTATCCGCAGTCGCGCATGCTATTAAAGAAGTATTTATCGGAGGCATTTCTCAAAGAAGTATCGAAGAGGTAATTTATAACAAGATAAACTAGTTTATCAAAGGCTACTTTCTGTCAAAAGCTGGTTTTTATGATCGAAATAGTATTTTAAAAAAATGTGCTTACATACAGGTAAAACGCAAATAATAATGTTTTATCTCTTTTTTTCATTCTTATCTAAACATTGTATGTTTGTAACATCATACCTTTTTTGAAACGCGGAATATTTAAACGAAATTCAATAGAAAAAAGGCACTGATTTTTCTGATTATCAGGACACAATTTTCATATTGTCATAACATAAGAAGTGAATTTTTAGGGAGAGAGAGACATCTAATGAATTATTTTGAGTGGCAGATAGTTTATTCACGTATGTTTTATTGGAATCATTCAGGTTGCATAGAGATTGTAGAAATAAAAAGTGATTCGAGAGCTAATGGATAAAAATTAGGCCATCATAGTAGAAAAACGTTTACCTGATATCGGTGATAACTGTCTACGATCGCATCTAATCGCTTGCATACACTTCTCATGGAGCATAGGATCGTAAGATCCGATTGTTGATCGAGAATTCGGTAGACAAGTTCTACCGATAATGTAAGAAAATTGGTGACTGTTTGATTTGACATTGTAGATTGTTGAAGAAAGGTGTGTTTCGTAGCCTTATGTGTTGGTTATATATACTGTTCTCTGTCTTATCAATAAATAAGTGAATATTTGTTTTGTGCCATAGATTTCAGATGATGTTGTAATTACTTGTTGAAAGAAAAAAAAACGAAAAAGAATGATGTTATGGCCTGATATTTCTCTTGCCATAAAGAATGTTGATTCTCTTTCATTTCCTCACATACTACTGATATCGTTGAGTATTTAAGGATTGAATATTGTGAAGAGAAGGATAATTCTTGTTTTAAAAAAGAAAAGGAATAAAAAACAAAACAGGAGCGATAACAAATGATATCAGCTAGAAAATGACAAAATCAACATTACAACTGCAAGCAACGTCTTTATTAAGATCGTTTTATCGATATAAAATGGTGCATAAAAAGCATGCATATCGTGTTCTCGATAATAAACAACACAGATTGAATGACTTTCTGTGTTATTTATTTTTGTATAAAATCTATATTGTCGTTTGATCATAAAATCAAATATACATATTTTCTAAGATGATATAGAATTTGTTTTCATCATACAGAGTCAGAGTCAGACGTATATGCATCCAGGAAAAAAATAAGCTGATTAGTTTCATAGTTGATGTATTATACTATAATTTGATCTGTTGTTGAACAAACTTGATTGAAATACTCTACATATTGAATTTTTTCAGGTATGATGTTCACAGAAATTTTTATTGTATAATATTGAAATTTGACAAAAATGTTTATTTCTTTATATTAGAAACAGCAACATTGTAAGTAAAAACGTTGTAACTTTTATTCTATTAGAATTATCAAATTTTCGTCTCAATTAGTTTACGTGATTTTATATACATTTGGATTTTTATTTTATGCTGAGTATTTATGTTAAGATTTTTCATCATCATCATAAATATAAATATGATTAATCAGGAAGAATATAAATAAACATATCATTAGGAAGAAAAATTATTTTTTTCAAATAATTGCTTTTAGAATATGTAGTCACATGTGACAGCGTAGAGCTGTTTCTAATTATTCGATTTATAGTATGAGTATTGATTATATGTAGCAAAACCCTATTTGGCTTTGTTCTAGTCATACTCAGCGTTTTGATGATATAGCGTTAAACAATATAAAAATTAATTATGTTTAAAATATAACACTGTCACGATCGTTACAAGCTTATCTTACGAATTCATAAACATCATAATATAGGCTCTTTCAAGATCCATTAAAACACAAAACATATCTTGCATTCTTTATAAATTATTAAACAATGAATCATCAGTGTTCTTTCCAGGGTTTCTAATAGAAATCTAAAACAAAATGTATATGTACATTTTATTTTTCTTAGCCAAGTGTATGTGTACATTTTGTTTTCGTATGCCAAGTGTATCAAAGTGTATACACTTGACGTTTAATACAAAATAAAGAAGTGAAAAATAGAAGAATATTCATGCCATTCTTCCGTAGAGCAATTAAATAATGGTAGATGAACAAATACACAATAAATGTAAATACAATTATCTTTCCAAGATACGAACGATAATTTGTATCAAAAAAGGTTGCAACGTTTCATTGTTTAGACATAACTTTTGAAATTCATACTGATCTTGAAAATCCTTAGAATTAGAAGCAAAGTGTTGTTTTATTAAACAAGGTGTATTTCGTACACTTTACTTTTTGGAATAAGTGTACCGCAGCGTGTATTTCAAGAGGAGCAAGTGTTCCGTACATTTCGATTATGCTTGGTACACTTGCTATTAGAAACACTGGTTCTTTCAACCTATACTAGTTTAAATTCTCGATGTAGATGATCTAATCTGTTAAATTAGTGTCACCTATTTCTTGCCAGTATAGAAATTTTGTTTAATCATAAGACAATTGTGAATATTCAGAAATGACTGAAACCCTTAAAATCACTATTTCGTAGTCGAGTGAAACTCGAGTACCATCTAGTTTGTTTTATGTATGAATTTCTCACCTATTGACAGACTTCTACACATATATATATATATAAGTTTTAGAAATACTACTATAAATATGAAATTTTCTATGCTGATAAATGGATCTCTTTATTCTACAAGATTTTATTCTACCATATTATGTATGTTTAGAATAGTTGATGATCAGAATTGACTACGAGACATAAAATGACTTTGAGTACATTATTTAAAAACTATAACGAGAAATGTTAGTTGTAAAGAATAGATTCAAAAACTGGAATCTATTTAAATTGAATTTCATCGTCTTTCATAATGAATATTTATTTTATATGGTTATTTCTTATAGTCACTATACGATCGAATACATAAACAAAATATGAAAAATAACTGTTGAACAATCGTAGCTTAGAAATTTCATCAAGAACATGTTCATTTATGACAAAAAACAAAAATAGATAGAAGAAACATGTGCGGATATAAATATATATATATTAAAAAAATATTATTGTAATTGTGACCATTCATCAGGAGATTTATTCTGATTACTAAATCGTTTTGGTTTAGCTAAATATTCTTTCGATTGCATTTCAACAAGACGTGATATTGTTCTATCAAATGAATGAAATTCATCCATAGTAAGAAGATCTTCACGTTTTAAATTTGGATCATTTTTTAGTGGATTAAATATATCTTTAACTGTATCAACAGACATTGACAGAATTAATTTTGTATTATGATTATATAACTCATCAACAAGAATTATAAAACGTCGTACACGATCACGTTGTTCAATATTTAATTTTGGTATATCAGTTAAAATTAACGTATGATATGTTGATGCAATAGCTATATAATCAGCTGAAAAATATTCATGACGACATAGTTCATCAAAAGAAAATTTTGCAATGCCACGTGCTTGCCAAGGAACTGTAATATTTCGACCATTGATATCAAGTGTTGCGGTTTCTGGTTTAAATGGAGAAGTAAGACGTGTACAAAGTGCATCTAATTCAGACGCAGTTTCCGGTCGACGAGCATCAAACACTGTTTGAACATGTCCCTATATCAAAACAATTTTCTCATGAATTTTGTAATTTTTCTACTGAAATATTATACCTGAGTACCAATTAAACGATAATCTGTTGATGAATCCATATTATGTACTGTGCACATTTTATGTAGAAGTGGTATAAATGGAGTAAAATATTCTCGATTTATTCCTCGATAATAAAGATCATCCGGTGGACGATTTGATGTTGCAACCATAATCATACCTTTAGCAAATAAATGTTCAAATAAACGTTTTATAATCATAGCATCACCAATATCCAAAACCATGAATTCATCAAAACATAAAAGCCAAACTTCATTCAATATTTCTTCCACAACACTACCAAGTAAATCATCGGATACAGCAGCATTATTACTTCGAACTCGATGCATACCTAATAAAATCAACTTTTTTAAATAAGGAAGAAAATAGTATCAACATACGATTATGAAATTCAAGCATAAAACTATTGAAATGTACTCGTCGTTTTTCTTTAATTGGCATACATTCGAAGAAAATATCCATAAGTAAACTCTATTAGATAGATATAAGTATAAATTTATATAGACAAAGATAATAATTGAATACCTTACCACAACCAGCACCACCGTAAACATACAATGATTTTGGTCGTTCAACGAAATCGTTTTTTGTATTTGATGTTTTAAATGCATTTGTTAATTTTGAAAATAATGTTTTATTTTTATCCGGAAGAGTAGCTGTTTCAATATGTGTTGTTTGTGGTTCATATGTTTGTAGATCATAATATAATTTATCGAGCATACTCATCAATTTTTCTTGACGTGGATCAGAACGTAACTAAATATTTTAATTAGTTTATTTATATATAACGATCAACAAACCTCATATGCTTTAATTTTATTTCGATAAATTTGAAGCGGTGATGATTCATTTTGAGCTGTATAAATCGTACGATTATGATTTACGGAAAACCATAAACGACGAAATGAATATGAAAGAACTATTCTATTCATATTCATTCCAAAAAAAAGCAATCGAAAATATTCTTTTTTGCTAGAAGCGTAGATTCTATGTTTTGGCATAATATAGACACAGAATACTAGCAAATCAGAAGTATTCTTCAAATGAGGTCGCTAGATCATAATAAATTTAATGAATATTATAAACTAAGGATATACATTTAACGAAAACATCCGTCGTTCGACATTGTATACTACATATATATAAATGTGAATTATATTTTTTAATAAAACAAAACTAATGGTATTTTAACCATTGAAATTCTTTTTCTATAGATGGAAACAGGTTAAATTACGTTTTTTTATTAGCTAGAGTATGGTTTTATGTAAATGGAAATTAATTTTATAAAGTTGTTTACTTTCTTTTTTAAATTGCAATGAATCATAAATGATGATAATGTCATATTTAGTTATTATTAATTCACACATAACTGTTAATTTTCCACATATTCATGACAAATTACAGTATGGCTGAATTGTTTTTTCCCTCTTGTGTATTTCTTATTTATAATTATTATAATTTGCGTTTTTTTCCAGTAATAGTCATATATATAAAGAAATTACAGATTTCATTGTGTTATGTAATATATTAATCATAAATGACAAATAGAAATAAATCGATAAAAAGAGATTTTTTTTCCGTACTACAATCTGCAATACGAATTTTTATTGTTTGAATGCTTTTGTGCATCTTAGTGCGTATAAATTTCATGTTTATACACCCATCTGTTTAACTAATCAAATAGAGTAATAACATATCATTAATAAAAGTTCTTAAAAAAGAAAAGAAAGAAAAGTGCATATTTTATGACGTGTCAGAAAACGATTCAAGCGAACACTAAATTTATTCTACATTTTTGTCTTTATGTACCTATCCGTGTACATTCATCTCTCGATTAAATTCACAGTTTCACTTTGTTTCCGGTCTTTACATCCTTTACATTATTAAGACAAAAAAGCATAGCGTAAATATTCTATTATATATGGAATTGATGTAAATTTTGCCCGAGTCTCCTTTATAAATAAGTGTTTTTTTGTTTTAACTCAGATGAAACGTATAATGTGACAAAAAAATATCTTTTTTTGGTTTGCTGATTTCTATTTATGATTAATGATCCATATATTGTACGATATAGTAAAGTCAGTATATTTTCTTATGTATAACTATTATTAGAAGGAAACGCATTATAATAGGTTAAAGTAAGAAATACACTGGAGGGAAATTCAATTGAGTTGCACTGTAATATCATAGACTATTTTTATCTGTAATAAGGCAACATGCTGAGTAGAAGATAATGCAAATGTTTCAATCTTTCATCTAAAAGATTCTTAGATATCTTGTTGCCATCATATATCTTTTCCATATCTCTCCATCGTTATTGAGTACTCTTTAATATAATATTTATATATGGAAAGTGTCATGCATATTGTGCTTCACAGTGAGCAACACAGTTGCATGTCTCTATAAGACTGAAGCTATTGAGAAGACGAAGAGTAATTTGCTTAACATATACTTTCTTTTGCTACTCGCTTGAATAGAACGACAATAAATAAGATTGGTGATGGTGTCGAATGATAAATCTCTCGTCCCCTTTTTTTCTTCTGTCTCTCTCTCTCGTTTCTTACGAGGTAAAGACAGATGTTGATAATGTTTTCTCTTCAGTGTCTATGTAAGTGTCGATAAGGGAAAAAATGTAATCGAGAAAATGAACGGGTAAAAAAAAATTAATATTAGATGATGAATGATGATGGTGATCGTAAGAGAAAGAACTAATATACATATTTACACGATCTTAAGAGAAAGAGAGAATATATTCTTCTTTTTTTCATTTTTTTGGTTTTAGATGAAATTGAATTGTCCTCGACAATAGATCTTCTCCACTATGTTACTCAGCATTTGTCTTCTTATTGTCCTTATCGATTAAATGTGAATTATATGAATAGAAATCTTATTTTATTTTTGTTCATATTTAGTATTTCGTATGTTGGTAAGATTCTTTCTAAAATTTTAATATGATTTTATTTTTTCGAAAATCTAAATAGCTTGTACAACTGAACAACAACTTATACGAAAACTATTATTATATTATGAACCATCAGTAAGACCAGTACTTCAAGCTCAAGCAGTAGTTACTGTTTCATTTCGTATGGAAATTACTCAATTATTTGAGCTTGTAAGAAATAATAAAAAGATTTAAAAAAAAATAGAGTTGTTCTTTTTCCTAGGAAGAAAAAACACAAATATTAACAACAAATGTACGTATTGAACAAAAATGGTTTGATGAAAATCTTTCTTGGAATCAAACTGAACATGATGGTATACGTGGTATTCGGTTACCGTCACAACGCATATGGTTACCGGATAGTTATATTTATAATGCAGCATTTGATCTTACAAGTCATGCACCAGCACAAGCAGTTGTTAATGGTATATGTTTTTAATATAATTAGAATTTTATTCCTTATTGAATTTTATTAGGTCCATATGTTATGGTTTATCATACAGGTGAAGTTGTTTTTCCTGTATTAATGAAATTACGTACAACTTGTAAAGTTAATATTCAATATTTTCCATTTGATCGACAAGTATGTGGTTTAAAATTTGCATCATGGATCTATGATATATCATCAATTAAATATGAACTTGTTGCTAGTCCAAATGATCCACAACAATCAGAAAATTTAAAAAATAGTGGCGGTTGGGCTATACTTGATGTTAAACAAGGTCTTGTATGGCGGTATGTACTTTACTTTTATTTTTAATATTATCTATAAAAACTCTATTGAAATTGAATTGATATATGTAGTTATAAATAGCTTATAGATGTTAGTTATTATGTCTATACTATTGTGTGAATTTCCTTTCTTTAATATTACGATAAAACTATCACATTATTTTAATACAAAGGTATTAATATCTCTTCTTTTTTTTCCATAAAAGACTAATACTAGTTCTATAGCTCGAAGCAAAATATTGATTTAGCTTAGTTTTATTTGCGGATCAATGAGTAGACTATAAAATGATTAAACAAAATAAAATAATGAATATTTTTTCGAAAAAAAAAACACGGATAAACCTGAAAAAATCTATTGTAAAACTAAAAAAAAGAAGTATGTCATGCAAAAAATTCTCCGGGGAAGAATATTGCCTGTTAGAATGGTAGATAATATTCTAATTTAATTCAAATGATTTGTTTTTTTAGAACAAAGAATAATAAAACTTATGCAGAATTAGTTTATGGTGTTCATATTCGTCGTCGTCCATTATATTATATATTCAATGTAATAATTCCATGTGCTATGCTTTCATGTTTAACTTGTATGTCATTTTGGTAAATAAAATTATATAATTTTTTTTCTCTCTCTATCATTTTCTTGATAATTATTTTTAATTAAAGGTTACCAACATCATCCGGTGAAAAAGTAACTCTTGGTTTAACTTGTTTTGTTGCATTTTCTGTTTTCATGCTTATGGTTGCTGAAAAAGTTCCAGCAACATCTGATACAGTACCTATTATTGGTAAAATTGTTTTTTTAAATCAATATTTTCATAAATTATAATCTATATAGGTATCTATTTAACGATTGTTATGAGTCTGACAGTAAGTTTAAGATGAAAAAATAATATATTTTTATTTATTTTTTTTTTTCGTTAGTCAATATCTGTTATAATGGCTGTTATTGTTGCTAATGTATATCAACAAGCAGCAATGTGTGCATCAGAAAAACATCGTGCACCACAATGGTTGATTAAATTTGCACTTATCTATGTGTCTCCTCTTCTTCATCTGCAGGACAAGGTCAAAGCAATATTAAGTCAAAAGGTAAGAGAATATATATTTTTGTTGAAAAATAAAAGTTCATCCATATTTGATTGGATGAGGTGAAAAAAAAGGAGAAGAAGAAGAGAGAGAGATCATTGATGCATAACGGTTAATAAAATTCATCGCGAAAGATATATTTACTATTGTCTACACTATCTCCTCTTTTGTTATATACATACAAATATGTATCCGAATATGAGACTACGTCGAAATTATTCATGGGACAATTGGGGTTCATACGGATATATTTTTGGAATAAGTTTAATATTTATTGGTATTGTAACACAAGTTCTTGAATATCCACGTATTTATAATGGTCCAACAAATGAAGGTAATGGACTTTATATTATGTCGAATTATTATAATCATTGGTGGCCATGGACATATGCAGCTAGTTTATTTGGTCTTTTTACATTTTTAACTGGTTTAATGGGTATTGTAGCTGGTTATCGACGAAGTTATGGATCAGTTTTAGGATTTTTTACAATGTCATTATTTTCAACATTATTTGCAATTTATTTAATTGTTTATTTTGCATTCATTATTGGATTTTATCGTTCAATTAATAAAGATAAAGCAAATCAACGTACAGAAGCTGAATCAGTTGCATTTGGTCTTGCTAGTACACAATTAGCTATAGCATGTGTTAATGTTTTAGTTAGTTTAATTACTACAATTTTAACTGGACGTGCTATTGCAATATGTGTACCAAAAGGTGTTTATTATGATGATGTCCCACCTGCGTCAAGACCAATGCCATATGGTGCTTATCCAAGTCGTTTTTAACGTTAAATCTATTCATGTGCATTAACAACATTCGCTTTTTTTTTCTTTATTAGTAGTTGAATTAATTATTTCTTAGAATTATTAAGATTGGATGATTTTCTTTCTTTTCAAATCTGTGTGTAATCGGAGGGGAAAAAAGTGATGAATAAAATTTTGATGTATGATTGTTTTTTCTCATTAAAACAAAAGTTTTAATGCGTGGAGTAATCATCAGGTTTTTTGTTATTGAAGAGTTCTTCTACTGTCTAGTAAAATCATGATTATTATATATGTGTATGACTATATAGAAGTCAAATTGACCTCTATTCATCAGTTCTATAATGGACCATAACGAATAAATATATATATTTGTTACGGTCTATAGAACAACAAGATAGATTTATTGTTTTCAATATGATGACACAAGTCATTGTAGTCGTAACGAAACTTTCTATTATAGTAAAGAACTTATATACTGAGTGAACTACTATTTTGTGTAAATAGGATATAAAACTAACTATGATGAATAGATGTTTTCATCGGAGTGACATATCAAAAAAGATTGATTTCTATTTTTCTTTCTAAAGATAAATTATAATTATATGTTATGATTTTTCTCTTTTTTTTTAGGCACAATCATCAGCATCGCTTAATCTATCATTAGAACCAAGTCTAATGCCTGTCTCAACTCCTAAAAATGAACTTGATGTTAATTATGAAAATATGATTGAAAATTTATTATTACAACAAGTATTACTTTACACACGAGAACGATCAAACGGTCCACAACGTTTACGTTCATCAGGAATTGTATCGAATTCTCTATTAGTACGACAACAAGTTAATACACAAACTGATCCTCATCATTCGGTGCTGACATCTTCAATCTTTGATAATACTAATGATGAAGAACCAACTCTATGTCTTATTGAATCTCATCAAAAAAATTCAAGTGATTTAATTGAGGATATTCTTGTTCAATATAATCAACGTAATGATAAACATTCACTTTTCGATCGAAATCTAATGGAATTAATTGTTGAACGTAATCGTGAACGTCGAAATGTATCCTTTTGTACAAATAATTCATTTTATTCTCGTCTTCAATGGCTTGCTATAGGTCTTGTTATAGATCGTTTCTTTTTCTATGTTTATTTCACAGCAACGGTTGTTTCCTATTTTGTCACATTATGGCTTATACCTTTTTCTCATCCAAATTTAACAATTGATATTGAAAAATTATAATTACAAACAAAACAAAGAATTTTCGGTGAAAAAATTTTTATTTTAAATACATTAGAATAATTAAAAATCTTCGAATATTGCATTTACACACACACACATGCATAAGACATAATATTTTCACCGGTATTTATATTGTATAAACATGAATAATAAACAAAAACTTTTCTTTAATTTTTTTTTGATGAATCAATAAATCGATCCAGAAAAGCTCTTGTTATACTACCTGGACGTCGTTGATGAGTATCTATCATTTTTTCAATTTCAGTTTTAACCTTACAAAAGAAAAAACATCAAAATAAGATACGAGTTATTTAGAAATAATAGTTTACTCGATGAGCAAGCATTTCAGGTGTTACATCAGGATCATACGGAATAGGTTGTCCAAGATAAGTACTAAATTAAAAGAAAAAAAAAAGAAAAGAAATATTAATCAGTAGAATAAATAATAATCTTACATCATTTTTACTGGAAATATTCCATAAATAGGTACAAGTGGTAAACGAGTTTTTTCATAGATATAACTTAAAACACCTGAAAATAATCAACCAAGGTCGTTTATAATAAGATTTGTAACATGATATAGAGTGTAGTGAAAGTAGTATTCTTAGCTGTGAGAACAGTTTTCACTTAGAGTTTCGTCTATCCTATATATACCGTAAGAATAGCTTGAGTTTCTTAGAAGGTATCGAGTTGCTACGTACTACGCCTACTTTGACAGCAACACTATACTTTCAAATTTTCTCTGGATGAAAGCTCTCAACTAAAGGCTAACTTCTAGAAAAAAAATTTCTTCACAGCGGATGTACTATAAGAAAAGAGATATAGTGTAGTTTTCAATCGTTGAGTATGATTACTTACGGCGACCGAATGTCATCGCTCGTACAGCTTCTCGACAATTTTTCGTGAACATTGGAATGATGGGCTAAAAAGAGAATATATTTTCATATATAGGAAAAGACAAGACGATAATTTACTCACCGCTTTCGCTTCAATAGCAACTTTAGCAAATCCTTTTCTTTCTTTCCATATCAACTGGTAGTTATGATCACTAAAAAGTGCTTCTCGTACACCACCTTATTAAGTATCAAAAGGTTCATTTTATGAATAAAAATATCTTGTAAATTTACCAGGTGCTATAGCAAGTACATGTCCTTCTTCAAGCATCAGTTTACACATAGATGATGTTGATGGTTGAATTTGAAGTGCTTCAAGTAGAGCACCAAGTCCTTGAAAGAAGAATCGTTTTTTTTATATTAATTTTAACTAACATTCAGTAACAAACCAGGTATTTTAAATACAAATTTATCGGCAACAACTCGTATACGTCGATTACGATACAGCCATATTTTAGCAAATAAATAATAGAAATCAATTGGTAATGCACCATGATAAAAAATAATAAGAACTGGTCCTGTACTTGGAATATTTTCCAATCCTTCTACTTCATAACCTACAGAAGAAAAAGAAAACAAAAGACATAAATACTCACGTACCAAAAAAAAAGTAATATTAGCGAAAAATTTCGTAAAAGCAATGTAACAAATTACGTCAGATATATAAATATCAATCGGAAATCGTCGTGAAGCTTTAACATACCAAAACTTTATCTAACAATCAAGTATAATCTATTTTCGATTCTCGTAGTCTATGAGAAAAAATATTTTACTAACAATTTACTCAGCTGAAAAAATTCAAGTTCAAAAAAACTTTTTGCCTTCGAAATCTTTATCTCTTACCATGCCATATCGTAGCTTGTAATTCCCAAAAAACAGCTAATGTTTTAATAGCTCCATACCAAAGATCTTCTGAATATGCTGCCTAAAAAAAAAATCAAAAAAATTATTTTTATCATATCGAAATATTAGTCTTACCTACTTTTAAATTATTCCAATGTTTATAAATTAAACAGAACAGTGATGAACCATACATAAATATAAGAATAACAGCTGGTAATAAAAATAATGATAACAATAAAATACATAATGGTTTAAATAATGTCCATAACCATGCCAAATAAATTAAATCCAAATTTGAGCGTTCAAGTAATGACAATAAATACGAAATAATTTGTTTAAATACCATTGTGTTCGTTTTCTGGCCTGAGAAAAATATACAATGAAAACCAAAACAAAAAATCTAAAAGGCGCAAGAAATTTAGTATGAATTTTATTACAAAATGGTTAACAATATGTTCGAATTGTTTTAATCATAGAAATTTTTCTACTAATGAAAATTCTTCGTCACAATTATCAGATTATCAGATAAATATACATAATTTAGCTAAACATTGTTTACATATATCAAATAAAAATGATTTGATTTGTTATAAATGTTTTGTAAATTTTTTTGGTTATGATCGTTTTATAATTCGACAATTATTTATTTATCTTAATTATCAACAAACAAATTCTATAGATATTAAACAATTTTATCTTTTTGCTGAACGTATAATTAATTGGAATGAATTTATAAATCATATTGATTTTATTTTACAATTATTTTATATTATATTAAATATAAAAATTAATTTTAATGATTATTCATTTATAAATCTACTGAATTTATTAGAAAATAATACAATTAATTCATTATTAATATATGAATTAATGACAGATGCTTTCTTTTTTACAACACTTCAATCAAATCTTACAAATCAAAGTCAAGTTAGTTTGGATGATCTTTAAAAGTATTTCTTTTTCCAAGACTGTTGAAAACTGGAGGGAGGTTGGAATCTCGGTTAAATATTTCGCTCCCCCTACATCGTAAAAGGTTCACGACAGCGCTATTTATGTCATTATGACACAGTAGTAAATCTCGTTAGATATAAGCGTATTGTGCACATCTAGAAGAATAAGTATGTACTTAAACGAATCTCGTTTTTTTTCTCTGTCGGAACAACTATATTTAAGTGGTTTTGTGAACGGATAATGAATAGTTATCACGAAATAACTAATTTATCTCGTAATTACATATCGGCTTTCTCGAACGTAACGCAATTAGATTATCTAATTTTCGTTATTAGATGTGTCTCTACATTTCGAAATGCGATGATGAACAATGAATAAAAAACTGAGAATGACCTATTTAATCTTTTGTGAATATGTGTTACAATAAAAACAAAGATTTTGTCGCAGACAGTTTCAGATATCCCCCAAGGAAAAAAAACTCTTCAAACGAACTTCTGTGATGATTTCTATGTTACATTTTGCTACATAAATAACGGTATAAAGATAAGACGTTTTATATCATAATTCATAAACACATATATAATGAATCTAAAAGATGATGATTTTGAATTTCTATTGACAGAACACAGAAAGTAAAAAATTCACTGAGAAGAATTTCGAATACGCAACACTATTTTGTTTTTAGATTTTTTTACAAAAATTTGTTAATTATTTTTCTCAATTAAATCAAAAACATAATTGTAAAAATTATCTAACATTAATAAAAAGAATTATACCATGGGCGTTTATTAGTATTCATCAATGGTTAAAAACTTGTTTACTTTCTACAGACTCTAAAAGAAAATCATTATCAATTATTTCTAATGAATTTAATACAGATTTACCATTAACATTTCTCTGGTATATAACTAATTGGTTAGTTTCTAATAAAGTTTTTCCTAATGAATATGATCCAATAATTATATTTGAAAAAATTTCTTCTCAACAATTCATTACAAATATCTATAATTCAGATAAACATGGTTATTCACTAGTGACATTATGTAAATATACATATGATATTGATGGACCTATTCTCATGATGTTTTATTGTACTGATGAAAAAATCTTTGCTATTTTATTAGAAGGAAAACTTATGGATTCGGCAAAATCATGTAAGTTTTATTCTATAGAAATAAAGCGAAAAGATCGAATCTCAATCAGCGAAAAAAAAAGAAACTTAGTTATCTAAATACAAATAAAAAAAAATCTTATCTTAAATTATATGAAGGAATTTAAAAGATACTCGATATTAGACTAAGCTTCTCTATTCGATATCCGATTCCAAAGTGATATTTGATATTCAACAGCCAATTACAATATGATATTTGATATCAGAATTTTTTAGTATAACTAACAGCTGTTATTTGATCTTAACATGATATTCGATAATGTATAGTAACTGTAGAAATTGAAATTAAACAGTTGAGTACTGTTGATTACTTTTAGTGAAAAGCATAAGATTTCTAAAAGCAAAAAAAAAAAAAATAATAATTTTTTTTTCTAAGATGGCGGTCGATCATCTCTCTGTTTACAATTATCTCCTCAATTTCTTATACTCGAACGTGGTCCTGCAATGCTCTATTGGAATGTTAAAACTCGTTCGAATGGTCCATTAGGTATTCGTATAGGACATCATGGTTTAATACAACTATCACTCGATCTTAATTTGGAATATATACATCATTCTCAAGGTTCAAGTTCAATAAATCGAATAGAAATATATAAATTAGGTTCATATAAAATACCTCGATCAACTTCAATGATTCTACATCATTCTATTGTCAATAAACAATACAATCTATTTAGTGTTGATGCGCATAAACTCGCTGAAACAATCGGTATACATTTGTTTACATAAGAAGAAAAACAAGATAAAAATAAAAAGAATATTTATTTATACATGATCACAAAAAACAAGGAACAAAATAATAATCAAGCATATCACAAATAGAATTTTCATTACTTTTCTGTATTTTATTTAGTTAGTTATTCATTCGTTTTACTGTTTGCATTGCAGCATTAATACGAAATTGAAGACGAGATTCAAGTTGATAATCTTTATAATCATTTCTAATAATAATAAAACAGAAACCTTTTGTTTTTCGCTTTCTCTCATTTAGAAACTTACAATGATTTTTGTAAATATTCGGTGGCTTTTTGTTTTTGCTTCAAAGTTATATAAATCAATGATTTTTCTAATAGAGCATTCGGTGCTAAAAAGGATTTGTTATCAAATCGTTTTGCCCTAGAAAAATATATAATTATAATAGAAGAAATTATTTAATTAAAAGGAACGAACATATTAATTATTTCATCGAATGCTTGATGTGCTTCATCATACTGATGAAGAAAATGAAGGAGAACACCACGGAATAATAGTCCGGAACCATAACTATCAGCATAGAATTGATCATCTGTAAATAATAATATGCATAAAGAAACAAAATTAATAACGATGAAATTATTTACTTCGATGATGAAGTTCTAAATCATTTATTGTATTATTGACAATAGTAAGTATTTCTTTTAATTTATTAGGATCATGTGAAAGGATATGAAAACCATTTAGTAGATAGACGAATTCCTAGATAAAAATGAATTATTAATGAGTCACTTAATTTACAATCGTCATTAATATCAGATCAAGTCCTTTATAGAAAAAAATTTTCCTTTCGAAATCGTAAAAGAAAATAAAATGATTTCATTTTCATTTATAATATATTAAAAATTAAATTTAAATTTAGAAAATAGATGTCGATAGTTACCAATGCTGGTAAGAATAACCATTGCTGAGCAAGAAAACGTTCACATTGTCTAATAGCATATTTTTCTAATGGAATTGATTTTCCAGCAAGACGAATTTTTAATTCAGGTACACGTCTAGAACGAAAACATTATCTATAGAAAAAAAAACAAGTCGAGTCTTACTGATATAATTTAATAACTTCATCTGTTACAGTTCGATTATTATCTTCGAAAATAAATGTTGATAATAGGTAACAATATGTTGCTTTACTCCAATTATTTTCTGTGAGTAGGATTTTACACATGGCAGCTGCTTTTTTCCAATCTCGTTGAAGTCTTTACATAATAAATCAAATTTTGAATTTAAATAAATTTTTTAACAAAAACTTACGCATGACAATATAAAATTTCCCAGTATGCAATCTATAGATATATATGTTTATTAATTTAAATTTATCTATATGAAATTCTTACATGATGAAGATGTTTCCAATCAGTTTGACAACGCATTGCATATTCATAAGTACTTATTCCCTTAATAGAAAAAAGACGATCATATAGACACTGATATTCATTGGATTATATAAAATTACTTGATCAATTTGACAATGAAGTGTAAAAAGTCTTGCTCGAAAGAAAAGAAACAAGTAGGACTAAAATAAAATAAAAATAAAAAGAATAACAACAAAAACAATCTATCATTTTTTATATAGAAATTCGAGATCGACTTTACTAATCAGCTTTCATATTTGACACCGAATAAAGAAAAAAACCAAGGCAAATCACACATCTATGAATATGATATACATATATATATATATATAGATCCCAACTCAAACAATTGAATAGTAAAATATTATTATAAGATTTCTTCATTTAACAGAAACGATTTCAAGTAAAAATAGTTAATCACATCAAAACATGACTCTATAGCCTTCAATCACGATATATCTATATAATTCTCAATGCTCTTTTCCTCAAAATATCATTGCGGCAATTGGATATGGGTGTGGATTGAAACATGATATGATCTCACCCTCTCTCTCTCTCTCTCCCACTAACCAAAGTTAATGAAGATGCTCCTTTTTCTTTTTTTTTCTATTCAAAAACAGAAGGGTAAAGGAAATGTTCATCTCTCTCTCTTCTTCTGTCTTTCTCTCTCTCTCTCCCTCGCTTGTTCTCTTTCTTACATATATGCAGACGAAATCAATCTCTGATTTCTTTGATAAAAAAAAAGTGTAAAAAAAATCAAAGGTAATCCGAGTATAATTCAATAGAACGCGTATAGAAAAAATAATAATAAGCATCATCAGCAGCCTAATCTAAGAATACGATGACCAATAACCACCACTACTACTGGACTTTATCGACTAGATGAATATAAAGAGTAATTCGATAGGACGACATAGCGAACGTGAGGAAGAAATCAGATATCGACACCAACGCTGCTGAAATCTAATTCCATTCTGATCTCTCTTTCTCTTCTCTTCTTTTTTTTCCTTCGTCTCATTCATGTTACTCCTGCTTGACAGATAGACGACCATAACGACAACAGCAACGACTAGCAAAAATATATATCAAACTGTTTCAACTATGAAAACAAATGTACAAGTCAAAGATGAACCTGTTGAATTACAAGTCAATGAATTACTTCGTTTATATGGTTATAATTTAACTGATTCATCAACAATAAAACCATCTCGAACAAAATCAATTGTTAATAATCAAGAACAAGAATGTATGTTAAATTAGACAATAGTTTTTTTTTTGATTAATTATACAACAAAATATTGAATTCATTTGTTTTTTAGCATCAACATGTGCTTGGTGTCAAAAATTAGGTGTACGCTCATTTACATTACGTACTGATAATGGTGATTCAAAAACATTATGTAGTGAAGTATGCTTTAATCAATATCGTCGTGCTTCATTTAAAAAGAATAAGGTTTGGATAAATAAAAATTTTGTTACAAAAAGATCAATCAATTTTAATATACTTTTTCAAGGGTTCAGAAACTGATACTGATCATAATACATTGCCAGTTATATCATCGATTAAAACCAAGGTAGAGTTCAATAAATTAAAAGTTTTAATTGAAAAAAAAACGATGAAATTTAATTTTCTTTAGTCTCCGGAAAAGAAAAATGGAACTAGTAAATATGAACAACAATCAATCGATTCAAATCGACGAAAATTATTATTTCCACATCGTCGTCCAACACCTATAATTGCTAAAACAAAATCGAATGGAATTGTACGAAAATCGATTCTTTCACCACTACCACCACCACCACCACCACCACCATCGAAACGTCATCGATCATCATCATCATCAACAACAACATCGTCGTCGTCTCAATCGAATGGAAAAATTCTTCGAGTTGATCAAACATTAGCAACTCCTTCAAATTTACCTGTTAGTTTTACTTGGCAACCTTCACTTCTTCTACCATCTACTATTCCCTGGTCATCTTCAATCGATATCAATCGTTTTCAATATCCAATTTTTGCTCCTCCCCCTCCTCCCCTTTCTCTTCCTCTTGCTGCTCCTGCTCCTCATCCTCCACTACCTCTACCAGCACCAGCGTCATCATCATCAGTACTTCCTACCACACCATCGAATTTATTTACAACATTATCGAAAGGAACATTATCAAGTTTCACTTGTATTCTACCAACTTTTATCCCATTACCTATTCCAATACCGATTCCACTTTGTTTTCCTATACATGTACCATGTGTTAAATGTTCAGTTAAAGTCAATAATCAACAATCTCAAACGATAATACAAGATAATACTAATCAAAAACGAACACGAAGAACTTCTCTTTAGTTTTAAATAAAAACAAAATTTTCTATAGTATCTATCTATATATTTCTAATATCTTTATCAATATAATACTTACATCAGGATATTGTTTTAAAAAACGTTCGACTAACGTATGACACATTTCCAGATCACCATCACTATTACCTGAATTCAAACAATATATTTTATATTAATTTTTAATAGAAAAATAAATTTCTACCAAATATTGGTGTAACAAATGTATGATAACTGAGAAGAGTTAGAGCTGAAAATGTTGCTCGTAATCCTTTGCTATTAGCACTTTTGTCTAATTCAGTTAAACCCAATTCCTAAAAATATTTTATATCTATTTGATTAATAATTACAATGGTTATAACATACTCTATCGCCTGAAAATCCAATAAATTCAAGATATTTGATTATACGTTGTGGAAGATTTGAAATCATCTAAATAATTATATCAGACAATGTATATGTATAAATATATATATATATACATACCAAATTAAATGCACCATTACCCATTCGAACTCCACTATCAAAATGTTCATAGGATAACGTCGATGAAAATTTGGACGGATCGTTTTGTTTCGATAATTTTCTATAAGAAAACATCAAGATAATACATTCTCGTATGATTTATTTACAAACATAAATATATCATGACATTCTTTGATTTTTAATGCTCCACTTATAAAACTAAATAAACCTTGATCTTGAATAAATGTTAATAAAGCTCCAATTAATAATGCTTCAGCATAAACTAATTTAGCATGCAATTCATCTATTACAAAAATTTTAGTTTTGTTAAATATTCTATTAAAATAATATTTGCTTTTTTTTAATAATCTTACATTCATTTAAAACTGGTTTCGATGAAAGACTAAATGGTATCCATGATTTATTTGGTTCATATTTCTTTGCCATACTATTCGTATGTTTTAATGCTTGAACTGCTGCTTCAATATCATCCTAATTATAAAATATGAATGTTGCAGAATCTTCCCATCCCGGGAAATGTTTTTTTGAAAAATTTTCCCCACCCCCCCGCGTGGGGTGCACGAGAAAGATTCTTCACCTCTGGAAAAAGCAATTCTATTTATTTTACCTGATTAAATGTCATTCCAGCTTGAAGAAAACTAATTGTACTATGACTTAGACTATGATATAATGATCGGTTTTCTCTAACAAAAGAAAAAAAAAAGAATAGATTTGATAATGTATCTTATATTTATAATCGAACATACTGTTCTTTAGTTTTTCTGAGAGCTTCATTGAGATGATTTTGAAAAAAAAGTTGTGTAATTTGTTCACATTCTTTAAGTGCTTGAAATAAATCAATCGTTGATTCTTCACCTTGTTTTGATGAAGTATGTTTTCTAGGAATAAAAAATTTATAAGAACAAAAAACAACATTCTGTATTTGGTTAAACAAACTCATTAACAGGTGGTGTACGATAATCATCATCGAGACTTTCTAATGCATCTTCGAAAACCTAAAATAAATGATTTCATTAACACTAGATACCATAAAAGAAAAAGCTTTTAGTTCTTTCTATACAAAGTTATTTTTTTCTTCTTTTCTATAGCAACGATATTTTGGGTAAAGGTTATTTATATATATATATAATTCTATTGTATTGAAATTGATTTTGGACAAGATTACCTCAGTATCATCATTATCTATTTGAGTTTGTACAAGGTTATTTAATGATTTTGTTGTTGATGAAAAACCATTATGATTAGCTGGTAAATGAAGTGATAAATGATGCGTATTTTGCTCTAATGTTGATGATATATTATGTGTAGAATTTGAATGTGTTACATTGTTTGGAACTTTTAATGGATGAGTACCATAAAAAAAATAACTATTGGTAAGTCCGCTTGTTGTAGACGAGTTATTTGAAGATGATGCCATTAATATCACGAGAAGGATTAATTCATCTAAAAGAAATATAATATCCAAAATCATTTGCTTTTTTTTTTCTTTCTGACATTTTTTATGAATATATGTTACTGTTTTTTTATATTTTTTTGTTCTTTTCTTATTTTGTCGTTCTCGTCGTGTATTAACATGAGTTTGAGTATTCTCAAAGACCAAAAAAACAAACTTTTTTTTATATAAGCGTAAAAGCGAATTGTGTAATTGACTATTCTATTTTTATATGCGTATTTCGTATTGACTATTGTGACGTGTCACGATGGTTTTTTTTTGCTAATCAGTCAACTGAATCTCGAAGAAACGCGTATTTTTTTTATGTAATTCTGTCGCATATGTTTGTTTTTATTTGAAAATATAAAGGAACGGAAAAAAAACCGAGAGAAAACGAGAAAATTTTTCTTCTTGTTTTTTCCGCTTACCTGTTTGCATTTAAACTTGCCAAACATGTCAATAGTATATATAACAACGAATGAGATTTTTTTTAATTTAAATCTTTTTATATATAATTTCAGACAATTTCCTTTGAACATTAAAATATAGTTATTAATAGAAAATTAAATACTCTAAGGACAGAACAAAAGATATATATATAAACAGGAAAGAATAGTATTTATTGCTCGAATTCAATTTACAATAGGATGCGTGTCTGTTTTTTTACTCTAAAATAAAGACTAGAAGAAATAAAAAGAGCGTAAACCATGAAAAAAAAAGAAAGAAGATTTTGTGTTATTGAAACAACTCACATTCTTGAGAAATGGAGAAAGAAAAAGGATTTGAATCATAGTAAAAGGAAAGATTATTATGCACGTTTTTGATATTAATGGCAGAACGATATGTTGACTTGTTGTTGGTTTCTATCGGCCGCATTAATATAAAACCTTATAAGTATGTTGTTTTTACCGAGAATTATGAAATAAAAAAAAGTAGAATAACAACTGCATCCATCTAATTTTATATGCATATTTTCTCGAGAGTGACATCATTTATATGTGTACATGACAATTCCTGTTTTTCTTTCTCTTCCTTTCCTGACACATGAATATACATTTATCTTGAGAAATAAACATGTGTATACAGCTGGTAAGATTTTTTGTCAGAAACTAATATCTCTAATAAATTTATAGTAGTAAAGCTCGAAAGAATGAAAGGTCAATAGTACCCATATTCTATCGAAAACTGTTCGCGTTTTTTTTTTGCATATAAATGTTTCCTCACTCGGGTTAATTGCACTTCTCATCCTAAATATATTATTGAAGCTATCAATAATCTTTCTGATCTTTCAGAATATCTAAAAAAAACATCATAAAAATTCTTTATCGGGAAAAACAAATATTTAGATGATATAAAAACTTAAGACGACAAGTTTTATTATTGTCATATAACATTTTTCGCAGAAATTTAAATAATAAATGTAATCAGATATGAACAAATGTTATAGTTGATATGAATCTCTCTCTATAGTTATTTGTTTGATCTTGTCAATGATGAATTTTTTCATCTCCGGTATATTTCATATAAACATTGATAATAAGAAATAAAAGCTATTCAAGGATATGAATGTTGAAAAACAAACGGAAGTGCATTTCAAGTACTAGAGAAAAAACAATGTATGTAATCCAGATGATTGGAAGAAAATAATTTATTTCTATTTAATAGAATGAATATAGTAATAGATATTAATTTGAAGTTTTTTAGTCAATATTAACATATGCACTTCAATGGTTAATATTAGATGTCAAAACCATTAGATAAATAGAAAAAGTATTAGTCAGCCTGGCATAGATATTATATAAATGTAATAATCAATTTCAATGTTTGAAAGAAAAAAAACTAAATTTATTTATTTTAATATTTCTTATTCAAGTATTATTTTGTTTTCTACTACTATCATTTGTCCAATGCATGATTTATTATAATAAGTAATTTGTCTTCTACGAAGAAACGAAAAATCTTCTAATCCATAATCATGTTTATAATAAAAATCTGCACGCAAATCTATGCAGAGAAAAGAAGATCAGAATTATGGTCGATCCTTTCTCTGCGTTCGTTGTTGTCGTGGAGTGCTTCGAGATGTTTGTGGTCTACGTGGTAGATGTCGTTCTGAAGACGGAAGATCATGGATATGTTGATGTTGTAAATTTAGTTGAGATGTATTCGAATGAGTACGATGTAAATGTTTATTAGATTGCTGATGATGACTATTATTATTATGACGAACCATATCATGTGAAGTTTTTGGTCGTGAAACATGTCGATGAGATAGATCTGATGGATTCTGAAATAGAAACTATTAATTAAAATGTAATTAAATAAAAATGTATTTACATGAAGTGTATGTCTGTGTCGTGGTACAGGATTCGGTGACATTGCCATTGTTTCAATAAGAATTCTTGTTCGAAAATCTTGAAAACTCTTTTGTAATTGTCGTTTTAATGTTATAATAAAACTAATTATTCGAGTTGCCGTTGATGGTGTTGCCGGTAATGTACGATGACGAAATCGGTAATCATCATTTACTGAATATGTATCATCATCATCATCGTCATCATCGTCATAATCATCGCTATCATAATTATGAATAGCTCTTCGATGAATAGGTAATTCATCATAACGTTCAAGTTCATCATGAACTTTTGAAGTAAGAAATGAAGATTTCATAGGTTTTGATTTTGGTTTTTTATTTTGAGCAATCGTTGTACTTTTTAATGCATCATTTCGTTTAATTGCAGCTCGAACATAAGCTTCTCGAAGTGCTGTTATACGATTTGATATACGTTGATCACCATGTGTACGTTGAAGAATATCATGAATAAAATCAACATCATTCTTATCTAAACCTAAAGCTAAACTAGAAGAATGACGAATTAATGGTGGAGGTTCAATATGTTTGTTTTTAGAACTTCTAGTATTAGAAGTACTTGTTGAAGTTGAACAGGATGATTTTGGTGGACGTCGAAGAAGAAAATCTTCGAATGTTTCATGTGGAAGAAATTTTTCTTCTTCTTCTTCTTTATTTATTATTTCATCCTAAATTATTCTTCTTCTTTTAATAATTAGAAAGAAGAGAATTATTTACCTGATGATTTGATTCTCCATTATCTGAAGTAGAAAGTACTTGAGATATTAATTCTTCTTCATTATGTTTTACAGTTGGATACCATGCTAAAATATGATGCTGCAATGCTCCATGAAATTCTATAGGATATTCAATAACTTCTATTTCTTTTTCGGAATAAACACTATTTAATGATTGATTATCAAAAATGCTTGGTTTTTGTTGAATGGCATTGTATAATTCATTTGATACGGATTTTCTTGAACATTTTCGTCGATCATCTGTAGTTACTCGCCGATGTGTTCTAGAATTCATACTTGAATTTTGTTGTTGTCGTCGTCGTAGAGCATTAGAATTAATAATTAAACGACCAGGTGTTGAACTACGTCGACGATTTCGTTTAGGACGATGTAATGTTCGTCGTTGACGATGTGATGGATGAATTTGTGTGATAAGATGGGGTATTTTTGTACGATATAAAATACTTTTATCACCACAATTCGGGGCCATATTGATTTCAAGTTTTTTAACCGTCTAAAAATGTTAAATAGATTAACATTCTTTATGTCTACTTTTTTTTATAATTGAACCTTCTATCAAGGTGACTAAAGCTCACTTGTATAGTGCTAGTATTTGAACTTGTCTCAAATACATTTGTCTCATTATCAATTGATTTCTTTCCAATAGAAGACATAGATGAATAATGAATATCTTCTTTTTGTTCATCTTTTAAAGAAGATGATGGAAAAACTGATTGTATATCTTCTTGATGTTGGAGATTAATGTATGTATGAGTTGATGAAAAAACAGGAATAGTATTTATGCATGGTGTTGAATAGGATCTAATATTTTCATAGATAAGTTTAGTATTATGTTCGGAATTGATTGCAATATTTGCATTTGATACAGGTGGAGTTAATATTGTATTCAATAATTTTGTATATGGTTTTTCATTGAATAAATCTCTTGGTTTTGATGAAAACACAGCAATATTAGAATAAATATCATTTTGAGAACAAGATAAAGTTCGTACAGTATCAAGATTAGCATATGTTTGTATGGTGGATAAGTTTTCTATTGACAATGATTGAGCAGGATCTTGATATTTCTTATAATATGGAATAGAAATATTTGAATATACTGGAATATCAACATTGGATGATAATGTTAGAAACTCATTAGAATTATATTTTATCCCCATACGTTTTTCATGCATAGAGAATGTGTATCATATCTTAGTGAACATAGATCATACGCTCATCTATGAGGTGCGTATGTTTTTTTATTTGTGTTTATGTCTAGATTTGTTCGGTTCAAAATAGTAATTATTTCCTTTTTTCGTTTGTGTATGATCATTAGAAACGAATAAATAAATGCAGACACTATTATTGACTTAGTCAGATATCGATAAGTTGACTTTAGACTATCTTAATGTCGTATTTATGATAAGAACAAAGACAACAAACTCGACGTTATTATTTTTATCTTAAGTATCTCTACGTTGTCCATGAAAAATAATGAATAATATGAAAAGTATAGTAAGATTATCTGATTCATATCAACAAAATGAATATCTTCTTATCTTCTACTAAGCTTTCAGTTGAATTAGTTCTAATGATAACTTTCAAAAGGCTCCGATGAATATTATAAATGATTTTATTAAGCAATTTGAATCATTATTTGTAACCTTTGATTGTTATTAAACGTCATGCTGACGTCATTCATTATTATAGAAGTTGTACTTCTTATAACAGTTAGAAATCAACTACATCAGCAAAGATAAACTCTTTTTTTCTAAAAATAAATACAAACGAAGATCACATTATACATCTACCATTCATTTTCATGTGGAATACTAAGAACTGAGTCGTTATTAATAACTTTCTCTTCAAAGTTCTCATTACTTAATTACAATACGAAAATTAAATGGAATTCCAATTCCTTATCACCTTTTTAATATTGACTTGAAGAAGACCCAACAAATGTTGTGTATGACTGTGTACAAGTTTTAAGCACATCTATAATCGATAGCTTTACTCAATCAGATTTCTTTCATTTTACCAACAAGTTGTTCGTAAAATCTACACTTTGAATTATTTACTCCTACTTTAGATTAGAAGATTTTTATGAACGCATCTCAAACATCTACATATATGAAATATGAATAACAACTATTTTAAATGATAACAGTTAAAAATCAATTAGTGATGTAGCATTCATTATCATTTAGTAGTACAGTGATATTGCTTTACTTTAAGCATAAACTGCAGACACTTGACCGCTAGGTTATCTTACATAATACATGTGTGTGTGTACAATTTAAGAATGTATTTAATTGTGAGAAATCAAAATCGCACAAGACGTTAACAGTTATATGCCACTTTTGATAATACAAGTATTATGTACAGATGTATTTAGATATCTGCAGACATCTCAAGGTAGCTAGCTTATCAGTTAAAATTTACTTCGAGTGGTAGTTTACTTTGTTCTTCATTTTATCTTTTCTTTTATAAACAAAAGAAAATAAGAAGAAAAGTGATAAAGTTAAGTATACTACAGATGAAATCAAATAGATAGGAAAAAAGAATTTATCATATAGATAAGAACAGCCATGTATTTCAAGTGCAGCGTTTGCTAAACTCTGGACTTGAATAAGAGATAAGTATTTGGAAAAAAATGTATATATAAGATGTCTCAATGTTGATGAAATCATTTTCTTCTATTACTTAATTTTTTACATTCACAAGTATTATTTACTCACGAAAAACTACATTCGACTATGAAGTTACTGTACGTGATTCTCGTGTTTCTACTTAGTAAGTTATATATGTATTATAAGATCTAAATATAATTATTCTATTCGAAATTGTTCTAGCTGTATGGGCAACTGATGCCTACGAATGCTATTCATGTAGTAGTACAAGAGATAAAGGTTGTGCCGATCCTTTTGCTAAGTCAAAAATGGCCAACCATAAAAGAATGATTAAGCCATATGAACGATGCATAGTATGTATCATAATATTCATTTTACAATTCAAATCGATGTTTCTTTTAGAAAAGTACACTCGGTACTATTCTTGATAGAGATGCGATGAATGCTACTGAATGTTTACATGAAGACGAATGCTTTCCGTTTGTAGTGGGAGATTTTACATTCAGCGTCTGTTGCTGCAATTCGAATTTATGCAATAGTAGCTCGACTACTCAACAACAAATGTTACTTCTTTTTGGTGCATTAAGTATGTATGGCATACTTATCAAAAAATGGTTTTAGCTCAGCGCAATATTCATATTTAAACCTGAGACTATTTTTACGTAATTTTTCTTCATTATATTAACTTTTTTTTCTGATAATTTGAAATAAATATTTTTATTTTTCGAATGAAAACAGTACTTATTCGATTAGAATATGTCAACTATGGCATATGAAGATAAATTGAAACATGGATAGACCATATTGCAGATGCGCATATACATGCAAATAACTAAAAATGAAGTAAAAAGTAAACTGAATAAGCCAGGGATGATGCTAAAGTAATATAATAAAATGTGCTTGCTACATAACAACACTTTCTATTATCTCTATTCTCCATATCTACTCCTTGTCGCTGATTGGATGCGCATTTCATAGGATGCGGTAGCGGTCACTCGGTCACTGTATATCTATACATCTGAAGAGAAACAATATAGTTGCATGACCTGAATGAAAAAGATGTTATCAGACATCTTGCTATGGTTAAAAAAACGAAATTATACAATAGTAGAGACCTATTACTTACAAAAATAAACAATTGTGGTATGTAGTAACCTTTAAAAATAAGTCTGTTCATTTTGTCTTTATTTCTCTTTTAGAGATCTGCGCGAACAACTTGTTTTAATAGTAATTTCAATTTTGCAGCTTCTCCAAGAATATCCACCTTTCTGCGTCTAGGAAAATATCATAATGATACATCGATCACGTATCTAGTCTCAATGAAATGGGATAAGGTTTCTACAAGATCTTACTTTTACATTCAACGTGTGACTGTGTAACCATCATCTATGTACTCCAAATGATTGGTGTAGATTATTATTTATTATTCAGTAGTTTTTTATACGTTGCAGATAAACTGTCACTTTTACTTAGATCGTTTTTATTTTGTAATTGATCTCATTGTGTTTAAATAGAAATGTATTACAACAATAAATGATACATGTCAGAATATTTTCTATTAAAAATTTTTCATGTTTTCTCATTCATTCATTTTAAATTCTATTAGGACAGTACAATACCAATATTCTACATCATACGAAATCAATTCATAAAATCGATCTAATTGAAAAAATTATATTTTATAAGTTTTACAACATAAAGTGAAATGTACTGTAACTTTTCATATTTTCTGAGTTTTTATCGTTAGAAATTTGATACAATGAAATATTTAAAGTAGTTAACTTGTGTGCTATACTATCAAGAGAAAGTATTTGTATAAAATTGACTTGATTTTATTATTGATGTCTAATGTTTGTTTTCTTTATTGTACTATAACTATAAATCGAAGATGAAAAATGCAATGACACGTATCATTATTTGCTGTTATCTTTATTAAATTTATAACTATATTAGTATCTTCTTGAATTTGTCTTGCGTTCTTATCTTTCATTGTAGGTGTCAGAGAGATAACTAACTATTTTGAGCCAACAGAAATGATAGTTTAATGATATTTACCAGCAAAGTGTGTTTGCAAGTTCTATCCTAGCTATGCAAATGATTGTAGATAGCTAATATCTATTCATATTTTGTATTTGAGCATGTAGAGATATTTCAATTTATATAATTTATCTGATTCAAATCCAATTAATTATTTATAAACCGGTTGCTATTTTAGTTATCAAAACGATGTGCTATATTATGGTAAGAAATTTTATTCTATTTGTTGAATAGCCTAGGTTATCAAGTAAATCATACAATCAGTACACTGCGGTAAACAATTCATACGTTTGTTCTAATAAAAATATTTCTATAGAAATATCGAGATTATTGAACGATAGTAATATATTGTGATTTAAAAATTTTAGAAATAAATATTTTTATTAAAATGTTTCACTTGACTATTTACTATTCATTATTTATTCTTATTCAAACAGTCGTTAGCGATTCTACGTGTATATATGATGTTGAAAATGGTTTACAATTAGATATTCGAACATTAGGTTTTGCAAATGAAAGAGGATCTAAATATAATCAAATTATTGATACAAATCCTACAACTAATAGTTTTAGTTGGAACGGATGTTTTTCATATTCTAAATTTGATGGTGGTAATTGTTCAAATGCTGCCGCATGTTATTGTAAATGATATAATTTTCTTAGACCTTCTTTTTTTTAAATTAAAGTTTCGTTTCTTTTCTTTTTCGATAGTCGATTCAATAAAAAATATATCAATTCTTATTGCTAAACAAGATACAGTTCAATTTACATATAATCAAGGTTCATCTATACTTTCTTATGAAACATCACATGGATATTTAACGGTATTTTTAATTTGTCGAGATACGGATGATGATACAACAATTGCTCATCAAGATGATACAAATATATATAAATTTTATATTGAATCTCGATGTTGTTGTCCAGGAATGTGTCATTATTCAACACATACAATTAGTCGTTTCGTTATTATAATCATTATCATTGTTGTTTTCCTCTTAGGATATATTATTGGTGGAATTATCTTTTTAAGATATAAACCTAAAGAATCGAATCGTTGTATGTGTTTAAATTTCATGTCATATATGCAGAATCGATATATTGTTATTAATGATCAGGAAATATAAAAAGAAAACTAGTTTTTCTTTTTTTTTCTATCTATAATGAATGATCTATTCGAAATCATAAATATGATTAGTAAACTAGAGGGAAACAGAGAGAGAGAGAGGGAGAAAGACAGGAAAAAAAGATTTGCATGAGTGATGAATGTCTAGAAGATAAGTGCTAACATTAGACATCAACAAACGAATGCTGATATTTCTAACCGAAACGGGTACTAATTGTAATTTCATTTACATAATCAAAACAATTTTGTTAGACTAGAGAAGATAGTTTGCCATGTTTTAATCTCGAATAGAACTACTACGTAGGTATTTGTCATAGAAAATTTTACTCATAACTATTCTGATATTGATAAATAGCGCTTATATCTTATTGTAATGAGTAATTTTTGAAATAAAATTTTTATTGTCTTACGGCAATAATTTTGTATATAGACTATTTCATTACCTCAAGTCAAATAATCACTTTGTATAGAATTAATTTTGAGAAAGAATTACAGATTTTCTTATTGATTACTTGTCGGATCAATAATAATATGTTAGTTCCTTTTTTTCCCCTCTCTCTTTTTAACTTTCTTCCTGATTGTTCGAGTTACGATAGGCGACTGGAGGGAAGAATTGTAAAAAATCAGATGATCTGACAAGTTTAATTTTGATAAAAAAGTTTCTCTTATTTTTGATTTATTTCTCCTTGAGTAATATTTTGTGTTGTGATAGAAGTCAATTCTTGTCAATAAAAAAAAAAGTCCTTTCATGCTATGGGAAAAAGAGAATAATAATCTTCTCCTCTTTTTTTTATCATATTATTATACATGCACGCATAGTTTTAGATCTTAGTAGACAAAGAATAACGTCTCATGTTCTCATCGTTATTCAATATAACCTGGACGAATTCAACTTATGAAAAAAGTGTAAAAAATGGTATCTTCATTAGATATTTATCGTCATTTACTATCATTCAACGAACAATTTTTATTCTTTCAACTGTAAGTAACTTCTATAATAAGAAGGTAATCTATTTAGAAGCAGTCTAAAATCAAAAAATTACCTGAGGGGATAGCAATTATTTCTAACGATTGTCCTTGTTGATGTCTGAAGTCCTTAAGAAACTAAATTAAATAGATATTAGACATTTCAGAGTATATAATTAACTAAACTAATGATACATGGCGACTTTCAGCTTTTTCCTGTGCAGAAGATTATTCATGAGTATATTATATAATGACTTTGACCTTGACATTGATTTTTGTATGTCTTTCAAGGCACAAGACTTCTTTTTTTGATTATATCAATCAATCTATTTATAGTTTGTTCTTTTCTGGATTATCTTCTTTATAATTTATTTATCAAGTCGTTTAATTATACGATTATTATCAAATTTAAAACGTTCTCATTTGAAGATATCTTCAAATAATAAAGTTTGTCAAGCATTTGTTATTTCATCAAATCAATATGGATCTTTTCGAGGAAAACAATCAATAACTCGTTCAAATAGTCTGATTTCTAATGAACATTTTATCTTAGCTAATAAACAAGTTGCAGATTTCTCTAATTGTGAAATAGTCAATTTAACTATTAATCATTATTCAAATATAATTGAAAATTCTCAATATCAACAAACTAAAACGCATCTATTAGAACATTACTTAACAACATATAATCCACTGCAAATCGATTTAAATAATACCGATAAAGAAACTATTACAACATCAAATATCAAGGGCATTACTTATGAAGAGATACCAAGTGAAACAGACACTCAACCAATAGATAATTGTTATCCACTTCATTGTACAAATAAACATAGATCATATCGAACAAAAAGATATGTTCGACTTAAAGAGCAAGAAAACTGTTCAGCAACGATGAGTATTACAGATGATCATTTATCGGAATGTAGTACAAAACTAACTAGTATTGTATTGCCCACTGTTATGATAACAGATTGTTCTGATAGTAAACGTTTACATACTGATATTATTGAAATGAATGAAGAAGAAGACTAATATAAAAAAAAGAAAAACTTTCATTTTATGAACTTTAAATATTCGCACTATCGATTGATTTTTATTAAAAATGTCAACGATAAAGATTATCAATGTTTAATGTACTTGTGATAAAGAGAATCATTTTCATGGACGAGAGTTTCTTTTTTTTCTTCCTCAAGAACGAATTATTATATCATCATAGAAGAATCAAACAATTTACATTTCATATATTTACTTCTATTGAGTATATTGTAACGAAGTTGTTATGTCTTCATAGATTTTAAGAGTGATAATGTTTATCTTTCTAATAACAATACTTCTTTTCTATTCGAAGTGATATTTTTTCCCTTTCGTTTATATCCACTTTTTTCCTATTGTGTTCATAACCGACGAGTGTTGTCTTCAGCGTCACTGAACACGAAGTGATCGATTTCTTTTCTCCCCTCTCTCTCTCTTCTCTTCTTTTTGCTTACACTAAATTTGGGTTACTGTTTCTCGCGTTCGTCGCTTGACTGGATTATATATATATATATCTGCATGTAGAACATGAGTACGAACGAACATGTCTTTTGCTTCTTCTTCTTCTTCTCTTCTTCTCATCCATTGAACATATATTGTAACGAGACAAGCAGACGATTGTGAGAATAAACTGACGAGACTGGTCAGTGAACACGACCCACAACTCTCAACTATCGGCATTTGTCTTTTCTTCTCGTTTTCTCTTTTCTTCGTGTTGTTCTATAATTGAACACATCGACCTTCTATTCGTCGTATATATGTGTTCGCGTTCACATACGAAAAAGAGAGAGAGAGAGAGAAAGAAACTTCCGCTTGAATATGCTCACCGACGACACAATGATATGAATATTGTTGCTTCCCACACATTCATTCATTCATTCATTCATATCGACGTGAACATCTATAACGTGTAGGAGTGGTTTATTTTATTCATTGATCATTTTTTTTATTCAGTGCGTGTGAATACGAAATATTAACATTTATATTACAACGAGTTTATCTTTACAATGACTCGTTATGAAGAGAAACTTTATTTTCAAAGCGTTTTCGATGCTATTGATCAAGTTTATAATTTGAAGAAATCTCAAAAACATTCTGGTTATGAAGAACGTTTGCGTGCTTCATTTAATAAATTACTTATACCTGACTGGTATAATCATGAATATACAGCAACTAATGGATTACGAAAAACAAAATCTCATGGGCATGTACCTCGTGTCAAACGAAGTAATACTAATAATGATACTAATAATAATACAAATAATAATAACAATAGTATTAGTAATCATCATAATAATAATGATGATACTCCTGATACATCCGTTTCATCATCAATTAATTCACCTCATTTATCGAATGGTAATCATAAACAATCATATCGTCATCGATCTACAAGTCGTTCATGGTCTGAAAGACCTCCATTAAGACGTGATTCAACAACGTCAACTTATGATACAAATGCAAGTGTTATTAATGGTCGATCATCGACAACTTCGAATGGTTCAACATCATTATATGCACCAGGTGTTCAACGTGTTGCTCAGTCATCAACATGGTATAAACCACGATCCTTTTCAACAAAAATATCCAATGGTAATACTAATGGACATCTAATTGAAGTACCTAAACCCTTGCCAAGATGTTCGCAAATTGGTAAGTGATATTTAATTATTGGAAATTTATATATATCTTGAGTGGTAATAATGTTGATTATGTGAACTTTCGATTTTGACATCATATATATATATATATAACAATTATGTAATGATACCGATAAGATATAGTTTGTGTCGACATAACACTCTCATCAACTTTTTTCTTTCTTGTTCTAACTATCATAAATTTGAAATTTAACGCAATGGTTATCAATGAAACTGTTCCGGTAGTTATACTATACATATTTGATTATAATTATTATATCAGTTTAGGCATCTATCTCACAGTTGTATCTGATCTGTTAGAAATAGATCAAAATAGAAACATGATTGACGCTTGTATGTCATGTCATTCGTAGATGTGCTTTATTAACATTGACAAGTCATATGCAGTTCCTTGTCAGTCTATCTATATCTTTCGCTATTTTTTTGCTTGATAAATTCTCGATTTACTATATAGCAAATCATGTCTATTCGAGCGATAGTTAATTTATTTTTTTTCTCCTTTCATATACATACATATTTATAAGGGTGTGTGTATTTTGCGATGCATGTTTTGAAAATAAATATATTATAACAAGAGGATGAAAATGTTTTGATAATAAATTTGCTTTGAAATGAATCACTTTACTCTCTGTATATATATGCATATATGTGTGAATGATTGATCATGAAAACTAAATGTGTGATGATGATAGTCAATGATTGTGTTGAGTATATAGAAAAAGAAATGACATTCTATGCTAATCTGATTGATATTGAAGAGAACTTTTATTATTATTAAAAGAACGAAAGAGAGAGAGTAAATGTATGATAGGTCTAATGTCGACATTATTGTGCCCTGAGATTATTCCAGTCACAACTATTAGGACTATAGTAGTCTCATCATCGCTATCTCTTCAGTAAATAAAAGACTGACATTCCGGATGTAAAACACGTTCGACGAGTTTTACATATATATCTATATATATTTCAAAGAAAATATGTATACTCACAAACAAGAGAACGAGTCACAGTTTAGAAAGAGAAAGCAAGAAAAAAAAA